TAATGGCTTGGAGTGCAAAAAATTCACCTGTCAAGATCTTTACTTTTCACCTTCTATTTTTTTATCTTTTGTCCTGTTGGATCTCCACTGTCTGTATGGAAATTGGGTTAACTTTTAAATGCGGAATGCATTGATTAAAATTGCCTGCAGTCTAAAGAATTGGATTACTTATCAAATAACGGTTTTCTATAAAATCACCGTAGGTGCCTACACTACTCGAATACAATTACCTACTCTGTTCACCAGGCGTTATACGTCATGAAGAAGATTATCGCTCTTTTGACCGATTTATGAAGTTGAAATTATTTTTTTATCCTTAATTGGTTTACATTGTTTGTTGCTTTGTTTCTTTTTTTTTTGCGATGGATGTTACAATTATTAAGCACTCTCACTGCGTGTTCTATGTGTGATGCCATATATAGATCTCAATATCAAATCTACAAATCAGTACAATTTTCATAAGTGTTTAGGCCAAGAAACCTATCGGCCGTTGATGTTTGCACTTTTTTCTGGTGATCTCTTCTGTTTATTTCATGTGAATAGTTTCAAAACCGTGAAAATATTTTTTGTTCTTCTTAGAACAGCAATCTTAATAACGTGTCACAAACTCAGAATATATATATAGGTTTTTACTCAAGTATATGAATACAATTATCTACACTTTGCTGAAAATTATGAAGAAAGACAAAATTTTCCAGAAAGCCGATAAATTTTGGTAATTAATTTTCTCGTCTGCTAATTTATATTTTATCACTCTTTTTTTTTTTATCAGTGTATGAAGTTTTTTTTTTTTTTTGCCTTAACTAGTTCAGTTTGTTTATGATGTATGTGTTCCTGCTGGAAAATATATACCCTTAAAATACTATGATAAGTAATCACCTAATTAATATATGACTAACCAAAATGACTTTGTATTTAAACTGTCCCAATTAATATGACAAGCATATCAGTCCAAATCACCAGTAATTAGGTTAAAACTAACTATTTGTTGACGTATTTGTTGGAAGAATGAGTTATAGATTAGTTTGATTATACATATTATAGGTATTGGGTTAAAGTTTGGGTTTCAAAGCTACACGAGGGCTATCACGAGGGAAGGCAGCTAGTCATCACCACCCACCGCCAACTCTTGGGCTACTCTTTTATCAACGAATAGTGGGATTGACCGTCACATTATACCCCCCCCACCACCACCACCACCACGGCTGAAAGGGCAAGCATGTTTGGTGGGACAGGGACCAACCCGCGACTCTCAGATTGCGAGTCGAGCGCCCTAACCACTTGGCCATGGCGAGCGGTTAAAGTTTAAATATGGAGTAAGTGAATTAAAGTTGTCTGTAGTCTGAAGAACTGGACTCATTAGTAAATAGCGGTTTTCTGTAAAACCACAGAAAGTATAACTGTCTAGTCAAATGCCAAGGTTTTCTTTTATACTGTTTATTAGACTAATATTATTACACACAAAAATAGGTTATAACTTGCCTTACTGTTCACAATGATGTACTACTGTAGAAGAAATGCTAGATCATAATATAACTGATAATGCTTGGAGACGGCTTGAATGGGTAATGAATATAACTGATAATTTTGAACGCATAATTTGTTATTAAAAAGGATTTTGAATAAGAAAGGTATATACTAGCGTTTCAATTAAACTTTCTATATTGCATTTCTTTCATTGATAGCGACGTAAAGCAAGCTAGTTAAAATGCTATTGCACATGTATGAGAAACCTAAGCTGGTCCAGTGAAAAATAAGTTGTTGAATTGTTATCTATTTTAATGTAATGCAAAATAACACGTAATATCTATTAACGGTTTATACTGCGCTACCCTAGTATATGTACATATATATACACCGGGAGGTGGGGGGTTCGAGGAGATTCGGCCGAACCCCTATTTTTCTGATATAAAAAAAATTATTCTTATATAGTTATAGCGCAGCTACTTATAGTACTTAACGTTTTCTACATAGTCTACATTCTTCTGATGAAGCATTAGCATTTTTTGGTTTGAAATAGTCGCATACAATGGTTTCTGTTGACACTTTGTAACTGGAATCCCGAAGCCGTACTGCTACTGTCAGGGTTTGTAGGCTCGATTCTTTACAGTAGGTTTCTGATTTGTTGGCGATAAATTTCAACAATAAACAAACTGCAACACTATGTAATTGTTTTAAAGTAATATATTGCAACAAGTCAAACGTATGTACAAATGTTCGTTACACTGTTGGTTGTCACAGTTGTATCAATAATTCTAAATAATTGTCTGTTTTTCGTCAAAGTCCACAGGCTGGTTCAATTACTTTAGTACACAACTGACAAGACGAATTATTCCTCTCTACTTTGTTACTACACTACAGTGTGATAATTTTACTTTAAAAATCGCCACTATACGCTCTTTATTGCTAAACTCATAATCACAAAGTCTAGATCTAAATAATAATCTTTCGACGTGTATTTATACTCCGACTGAAACCTAGAATACTAGGTATTCTGATGTAATGATACTCAATTAAAATAATGAGAAAAATTCAAAAAGTTCTAGTAACATGACGCAACAATATAACACTCGCCAAATCCTAACAATTGAACGTACACTACACGCTACATATGATTCGTAAACAATTACGGTAAAGAAAATAACCAAATATGACACTCGCTCTATACAAACTATCCAAACCATAACGCTGGCATTAAACTTGAACTGAAACACTTGTGTATATCTAACAGCTACACGTGGTTTTGAATACAAGCAAGCTTCGTATATCTCGGAACTTGAGCTATAAAGTGATTGTGAGTTTGAGATTTAAGCATTTTGTAGGTTTTTATTTTCGTAGCGATACCGAAGACGTAGATTCTTCCAAAAATCCTGGCAATTTTCTGGCCCCGCTGAAACATTATGTTGAAGATGATGAAATACTGAGAGTTCATTTGTAGCATCCCAAGGCAAAAACATTACAAACTTATCTCCCTGCTCACAAAATGACCTAATAAAGGTCAAAGGATATGATGTAATTCAAGTAAAAATTATTGATAAAATAAAAAATGCTGCATTCTTCTCTGTTCTTGCTGATGAAATGTCTTCTTACAATGTGAGACATTTACCAATATGTCTCTATTTTGTAGATGACAACTGTGAAGTTAGGGAAGAATTTATTGGCTTTGTTAAGCTACAGAGGGGCAGAGCAACATATACTCTATGTGCAATTACAAAGATATTGACTGATTTTGGATTATCTTTAAATGAAATTCGTGGTCAAGGATATAATGGAACATCCACCATGGCTAGTAAAAGATCTGGTGTTCAAAAACAAATCTGAGATATGCAATTTAATGCCTTGGACACTCATTGCGCGGGTCACTCACTTAATCTTGCTATTATAAATTCATGTTCAGTTTCACCACTACGAAATTGTATCGATCAAGTTAAAAGTAGCGCAGATAGCCCTCGTGTAACTTTGCGCGAAATTCAAAAACAAACAAACAAGTTAAAGGAATAAATATTTGGATTAAATCCTCATCTAAACGTGGAGAACTGTTAAAGGAAATATATCAAAAGGGCACCCAGCATGGATCAGCTTGATCACGTCTTACACTACTCAAAGTCGGTATTACATGCTGGGTTAAGAATATTGAAGGTTGGGAAAGGTTCTGTTTATGTCATCCATTCTTACTTCATATGTGTGAGGTTATTGTATATGGAGATGATATTTTTGAAATGTTTAATGACAACTGGGTTGCTAAAGATAAGAAAAATGTTATGGCTTATCTAAAAATACTGGAATTCTTTGAATTCGTTTTTTGTTTATCAGCTTTACAAAGCTCACTTTACTGTTTGAAAGAAGCTTTTGTAAGTTTGCAAGGTCTAAGCAAAGACATTGTTTTTGGTGTTTCTTTGATAGAACAATGTTGTATAAAACTGACTTCACTAAGAACGTAGATGATTATTTGCATTGTATCTTCAAGTACAGCAGTAATATTGCTAACAAATATAATATTAATGTCAGCATGCCACGAGGTAGTCAATGACAAGCCCAACGTGCAAATGGAAAATATAATTTCATGGAGGATTACTTTAAGAAAACAGTGACCATTCCTTTCCTTGACCACGTTATCAATAATCTTTCCTCCAGATTTGATGTACATATAAAGCAAGCAGCATCAGTTCAAAAGCTTGTGCTATCAATACTCAGACAAGAGTTGTCTATCTTTGATATCAGACAGGTTACAGATTTTTACAAGGAAGATTTGCCAAATCCTGATATTTTTGATGAAGAACATACTCGAAGAAAAACAAGATGACTTTCTATACCTCTTCGAGACAGGCCCCAGATACTGGCTGACTGCTTAAAAGCGTGTTTCAATGTACCAAATTTCTTTATGTTACTGAAAACCTTTGCCACACTGTTCATGTTGCCGCTCCGGCATCTGCTCTCCGCCGCCGGTTGAAAAACTACCTGAGGTGTATACGAACGGAAGAAAGAATGAGTGCTCTAGCTTTAATACACAATCATTATGACCCTGCTATCGATATTGAGTTACTTAATACATTAAAACATTATTATGTCATATTATGGTCAGATAACATAATTGGAGGCAAAAGGCCAATGGAAAGAGACAAAGGGGGAGAAGAAGGAATTGGGTGAAAGATATACATGAATGGATACAACTGGACTATGCAGGATACGTCAGAGCGGTACAGGAAAGAATAACACGGCATACCATGGTAGCAAACCTTGTGTAAGAGGATGCCAACTTCAGATCAGATCAACATTGAAACTGTATGTAAGTTATCTATGGAAAAGCAACCCAGAATAATGGAGCATGCTAACACGTCAGTAGTGCGTACATGAGCGTATATAGAAAATGGACTTATCACTACGAAATTATGACATTTATATTTCAGATTACATAAATGCTAAAGCTGACAAGAATAACGTTCGATTTATAAAGGTGTTAGGACGTAACATAACACGTAGGATTCTACTGGATGTCTTACTCTTTAATCTCTTCGTTAGGCATGTAGAGGTCGAAGTCCGTGAAAAGAATCTGTATCCGTTCTCGGCCTCTGCCTTGGAAGATGAACACACAACGAGTGTCGTCCGGGTAGGGCTTTGGGTAGTTAGGACTAGTGAAGGTGCCGTTTTTAGACGAATCACTGTCAAACTCTTGGTTACAGCCAGACTTCCCTGAAAATCACAATGATAATAAGCAAAATAAGTTATTTCACGATTGTTAGACAAAATTAAAATTTGCCTGTTTGTTTATGTTATTATTATTATTATTAATATTGTTTCACAGACGTACATTAAAATCGGCTAAGTATTTTGCACCAAAACCTGGCCATATATACTAAATGAAACGCTGCAAATGTCCATGACCTATTTGAAAGTTGGCTATTTTGAATCAAAAATTGATTTACATGGTTATAAATACATAGATGCGATGCTGTTATGAGCGGCTTTCATTGTATTCGATGCTTCTTAAACGCGTGTTTACACGAAACCTCGGACACAAAGCCATATGGGTCAGAAATATAATTGTTGGGTGGAAAAATTCAATGAAGCAGTAAAGTTTAAAAACATGTAACATTCAACTCAACGAATAGGCACATATGTAGCTTAAAATATATTTTCCATAAATGGATATAAAAACTTAAGAAACAAGATTAGTAAAAATCGTTAATTTAAAAAGGGGAATAGACAGAAACAAGTTGAATCAAAATGCAAATATTATATTTTCAAGCCTACAACTAGGGAGTCTAAAAAAGTAAACAAATTAAGCTGGAAATAGTATCAACATTATTTTCTCAAGCTACAAATTTTAGTGGACTCAAAATAGGGATTTGTAGCATAGCAGCTCATAGAACAGCTTTGAGTTTGTTTTTTTTGTTTTGTTTTTAAAGTACAAACTTTTAGCTCATAGTTACGTCATCTGTTGACCGATTTGAGATCTAATTACAGTTTTAGACTCAGGAGGTCAAACCCTTTTGATTGATGTACTTGACCATGCATAAGGTCTCATAGATTAATATATTATAATCCTGTCTAAAATAATTTCAGTTTGGGGGTAGGCTGGTAAAGTTGTTGATGAGTAATAACATTAAATCGGTATAAGCACCCCACACTTGGTATTGCGGACGCACAAGAATATAGCTAATAAAAAGGAAAAAAAGGGTCTCATACATTAATTTACTCTAACCCTGCCTAAAAGAATTTCATGTGCCGCGGCTATCGAGGATTCCCTCTTGTTTACTTTTTTAGAGTCTCTAGTTGTAGGCTTGAAAATATAATCTTTGTTTCAACTTGTTTCTGTTCTTTTTGACGATCCCTATTCCCCCTGTTTAAATTAACAATTTTTACTAGTCTTGCATAAAGTTCTCCAAAGGGAATCATAAATTTCCAGTACTATCTAACCAGCTAACCAGCCAATTAGGTATTCTTCTTATTATTGGTATGCTAAATTTAATCTCAAGTAAATATTACCAGATTACATTTTGAGGATGTTGAGCTTATTCAGGATAAAGTAAATATTACTACTGTATGTGTAGTACTGTAGGGTTTCCTACAAAGACCAGAAAACAAATGAAGAAGTTCTACAACAAGCAGAAACAAAAAGAACATTGATAACAAAAGTACCAAAGAGACAAGCAGCATTTTTGGTCATGTGATAAGGAGAAAGGAGATGGAACATTTGGTAACAACTGGGAAATTTGTGGGGAAAAGTAGTAGAGGTAGACAGCGAGAGAAGATCCTGGACAGTGTAACAACTTGGCTACACAGTCAGAGGGTGACTGATGTAATCACAAGTGCCTGGGACAGGGAAAGGTGGAGGGACATGGGGACATGATCGCCTATGCTACAAAGCAAGGCACTTGATGATGGTGAGGTGTAGCTGATGACATGTTATAAAAGCAATAGAATGTGTATAATGCCAGCATACACACTGTTTAGCGTATGCCAGATTCAAGAAAATGTAAATATTACTACCACATACTTATTTTTCATGGTACGTTAAAATCAAGTTTATGGTATCCTGGTAAGTCAACATCAAGTTTACAGGCTTATAATGCTAAAATTCTAGGTTCGATTCCCAGGGGGTAGATAGAGTACAGATAGCCTATTGTGTAACTCTGCATTAAGAACTCTAATAACATCAAGACTATGTAAAAGGTTCAGCATATTAGAATCAACAAATGGACAACATTTGTTTTCACTGGCTGTATTATATAGTTAAGAAATGCAAATAATGTTAGTATACATATTTGTATTATGGGTATGGTACTAGAACCAATATAACACAAACAGTGTTAGCGTGCTATTACTGAATGCTTACTAGAATAAATATAATGTAAATAATGTTAGCGTGCATAGTTTAATAGAAATCTACCTGCTGACTCAACAACACTGATCTCAAGCCTCACTACGTGAATCAGAAAACTTTTATTCAAAGGCTACTTTCATCGTTGGCCCTCTAACTAGAATCTAAAATAATTTTAATACGACGACTACTACGTCACAATCTCCTAGGTCATGGTCAACTACTCTAGATTTGGTAGGTGATCTGATGAAATTCGAGAATTATTTTATGCGTGTTATTAGTTTTCGTAGAGCCAAGAAAGCCTTGTTGACAGGAAGGACAAGTAAATTTGTAAACTAGAAAGGACGACTGTAACATAAGAATATTGTCCTCAAATTAAAAAAAATAGAAGATTGTATGCAACAATTAGGTTTGAAAACACGCCTTTATTGTCCTTGTGGGTATACTGTTATAAGTTGACTCCCAGGTTTCTTAATTTAAAGAGTCTATTACGAAGTTTCGATGTTCTAAGGAATATCATAAAATTCTAAAGAAGATAGGTCCACCTTTCAAAAGTGCTTGGGTTATAGGGTTTTTATCATTTTGTATCAAGACATGTTGAACCTATGTGTTTTTCTGACATCATGAATAAAGTTCTGAATGAACTGCTTAACTTTGAAATTAAGCGAAAACGTCAGCTCAGTAAATATTTCATTAGAAACCTCTAAAGACACTTAAATTATTGGAAATAAATAAGGGTATATGGATTTTATACATTTAAGGCAATTCATTGAAATGCAAAATAATAAAATTTTAATACAGATTACAGGTGAGCAGCTAGTTAAGTTAAATAATCTAAGATGACAGTTAGGTTCTACGTCGTTTTTGGAGAAACTTGATGATGTGATATTTAATGTTTCTAAACATGTTCTGAATAATATTGAGAAACAAGTATTAGTTCGGGGTTTAAAGTCTACCATTCCCAATAAACTTCAATTCAACGATTATTTTGTTCAGTTTGAACTGTTTTTAGAAATATTTTCACATCAAACAATTTGGAATAATTCGGGCCAAAGGTTTAGTAATATTAGATCTCAAATTGATGGTATTGCTCTCATTTGTTTTAATAAATTATAATCATGAATATAATCATATTTCGAGTTTAAATGCTGAAGAATTAAAAACTTTAAAAATATAAGTATTGTGATTTCTAAATCAGATAAGGGTAATAGTGTTGTAATTTTGGATATGGATGAAAGCTGAAATAATTGTTAGTGATACCACTAAGTTTGTAAAATTGAATCACGATCCTGCTGATACGAGGCAAGGTGAATTACAGAAGTTTTTGGTAAAATTAAAGAAAGAAAATGTACTTAGTGGTAAACAATATTTGGACATTATACCATCAGGTACTCATCATGGTATATTTCATAGACAGCCAAAAGTTCATAAAGAAGGATTTTTCTTAATACTGGTTGTGTCTAACATTGGAACTTTTAACCATGCCTTGGCTGGTTTTATGGGGAACATTTTAAAAACACTTACCACATATGAATATACCCTGAAAGGTAGTTTTGAATTTTCCCAAGAAATCCAACAACTCAAATTCGACAGTGATGTCCATTGTGCGAGTTTCGATATTGTCACTAGAAGAGACAATAGAACTAAGTTCGAAATCGATGTTCAAAAACAACTCCAATGCTATGTCTATACCAAAATCGATCTTCTTGATAATAATAAATTTTGCCACCAAAGATCAATTTTTTTCTTATGAATTTCACCTTTATGATCAGAATGATGGTGTCACTATGAGTTCAAGGCTTGAACCATTCTTAGCCAAGTTGCATCATGAAAAACAATGGCTGGAAAATTGCCGTCAACAGTTCAGACTCTCTACTGCCGAAGATATTTATATGATACATTTACTATCTTTAGGAATTTTAATCAATCCCTCCAATTTTTACATTGCTTAAACAGTACAGAAACTTATCTAATATATATTCAAACTGAAGTGTCTAAATACCCTGTTTTTATTTGTTTACTTCTTAAGTAAATATTTCTTAGTAATTAAAAATCAACTAAGGTCATCCTTACAGTATACCTACAAGTAAAATAAAGGCATGTTTTCACACCTAATTGTTGCATACAATCTTCTTTTAATTTAAGGACAATATTTTTATGTTACAGTCATACTTACTAGTTTACAAATTTACTTGTCCTTGCTGTCAGCAAAGCTACATTGTCTCTACGAAATGAAAACTAATAACATGCATAAAATAATCCTCGAATTTCATCATACCACCCACCAAATCGAGTATAATTGAGCATGCCCTCGGAGACTGTGACATAGTTGTCACATTCAAAATATTTTAGATCCTAGTTAGAAGGCCAACCATGGAAGTAGCCTTTCAATAAAAGAATCTTCTGATTCACATAGTGAGGACTGAGAGTCAACAGGTAGATTGCTTTTAATACTATAAAGTGTATTGTCTTACTAGAACTGAAGCAAATTGAATATTTTTGAGGAAATTTTACAATTGCTTCTGGATTTTATTAATTCAAAAGAGTTTTGTTTTGTTTTTGAATTTCGCGCGAAGCTACACGAGGTCTATCTGCACTTGCCGTCCCTAATTTAGCAGTGGAAGACTAGAGGGAAGGCAGCTAGTCATCACCACCCACCACCAACTCTTGGGCTACTCTTTTACCAGCGAATAGTGGGATTGACCATCACATTATAATGCCCCCACTGCTGAAAGGGCGAGCATGTTTGGTGTGATGGGGATTCGAACCCGCGACCCTCAGATTGTGAGTCGAGTGCCCTAACAACCTGGCCATGCCGGGCCTATTTAAAAGAGTTTGAGAATAAAAGTTTAAACAGTTTTACAAATTT